CTAGGAAGCAAGAGCTCCTTTCCCCCGCCCCTGGCAAGGACATGGGATGGTATGGAATAACAGTAGGGTCTGGCCATGTACCTTCCCAGCTATTTGAAAAATTWAAAAATTTAGAAACCATGACAATCAAGCCAAAGTCTTCTGATGACAAAGCCTGGAGTGAAAGTACCTGAGATGCCTTAACACAAATGGTGTTCCCATTTCTTTGAATCTGAAAGCCTCCCAGCTGGTTCACAGTTCCCATGAAAATTGCTGCTGAAACTGTCATTGGAGCCTTGAGTGAGGTGCAGCTGAAAGCAGGACACAAAAATGACAGAAATAAGTAGAAATTAAAAGACATTAAGAATAGGTAAGGAAAAGGAGAATSTAAAAATCTAGAGAATGATGGAGGAATGCTGAGGCTTGAAAAGAAAACAAGAAGACATCTTGTAGAACTATATATTACTTTGCTATTATTACAAAGTCTGGCAGGAAGCATGAAGTGAAAATGCTTTCGATTGAAGTAATTCACAGAATGAAGTAAGTTGTCCCACTACAATTTTATTCTAATTCTGATAMAGATTTTTTTCCATATTAGAAGACACAGATATTGACCATGGCTTTTTAACTCTGATGTGTGATAACTGGATCTCTATTGGAAAAAAAAGGTATATGACTGCCAGCATGCTTATCTAAACAAAAAATTATAAAAGGAAGAAAACCTTTATGAGAAGGATGCCTGTCAATTCATTTTTTCTTTTACGGACTATCCTAAAYTGTCAAATGGCAGGTTTTAATTTCTTTGAGCKTATGTGTGGAAGAAGTGAACATATTTAGATATCTAAGGCTAAAACTGTTTTTCTCCGTAGAATGATGAATGAGACCAGGGTTACTACTGTATTTTTCCTTCACGCTAAAACCAGTCTCACATTTCTGCAATATGAAGGACTATACACATGACTTATTAGGCTAGTATCACGAGAGTCAGCAAGTAACTAGCTTTCATTACAGTCAGAATCAGAAAAGATCTTTCACAGGATAGTGGATGACTGTGACTTCCTTGACATTTTCTTCTACTTCCTGCATATTATCTGAAGTAGATTGCTTGTGCCCTAAATCTGAGCCATCTCTGTGCTAGCTTTTTTTAAATAGCTCTGATTTTTCCATGAAGCCTCTATATGCTTGCTGCAAGATAAACAGCATTACTTCATAAATACATACAGCAGAAACATTGTACAGCTTCATCTGAGCACAAAGCCTTATTATATACTCAAGTACTTGTAATTCTCAAGTATTTAGAATTTTAAGTAGGCAGCTGAGAATGTACGGCATTTTTTTTGTTAAAATTCCACCACAAGGAGTCTCTTTATATTACCTTTCCTAAATGTAGCCCATTTTTTAAGGGTCAATTGGCTACTCGTTATGTAAACAATATGTGATTGAAATGTTGATGCATTACTCCCATGGAGGACCTCCAGGCGAGGGACTGAGGAGTGGTGGTGGATTTGCTATGCAGACATAAGCATGCAGAACTGGACTGCCACTCAGTGGTGCAGGACATCATCAGTTCTTGTGCCATCACCCTTTAGCATTGACATGGCTGAACACAGCTACATCATCCACCAGATATGATAAACTGGACACAAACACAGGTACAGAATTGCTGTACAACTTCAGTACAACATCCTAGCAATGCCAGAGTATAAATAGACTTTTTAGGCAATTCTGAAAAATACAGTTAGAGAGCCAAATGCCTTAAAGCTCAATTTTGCATAACACTAAAACACCATTATTAAAGAGAATTGTCTGCCCTGAGCTAAAATAATCAKTCACTTGGACACTTACCTACTGTCATTTATTCATGATTTTCCATGGAAGATGTTAAAATGGCATTACAGTCCCAGGGGATTGCTTATCAAAGAACTCTTACTTCAGTACTACACCATTGGGATGCTTTTGATAGCTGTGACATGCTTTAATTTGAATTGTCTTCTCTGTTTGCACCACACTAGTACGTATCAGCACTTTCAGGATCAAAGAATATCTTACTGCAGTTCAGAAACTCATTAAATCTATATTTGTAAATAAAACATTTGTTCCACAGCACTAGGTGTCCTTGAACCACTACAATGAACAGCTCTGCAGGACATGTCCTAAATGTACTTAAGGCTCCAGTGAATAATGAAAATGTGACTTGTCTTTTAAGTGTCCTGGGAACAACTTGTTATGGCCTATAAAGCAGTAGAAAAAGTGCACACAATGGTATTCCCAGAGCTGAAACACAAATCTAATTAGACTCCCATAAAATGGCTTATTCGAGACTGAAAAATTGCTAACTGATCACAAACTTTCCTTTATAGATTATTAGGCTAGTTTAATAGCCATAGTTCTCACTGTGTATGAACTACTTCTTTATGCACTTTGCTGTACAGAYATTAATTGCTTTGGCTTTTATTGAATGTGTGTTTATATTGCTGCTATTTTTACAAATGAGACCTGCCTCAGGTTATCTTTTTAGCCTGTATTTTCCTTTTCTTTTTTTTTTAAATGAATGAAAAAAGTCAATCTGTTTTCCAAGTTAGAATTTATTTTCAGGAGCTGAATACCTAGATTGCTATTTGTGCTTCCTAATTATTGAAAAAGATTTAATTCAATCCAGTAAGATATTAWAATCAGAAGCAGAATAAATTTCGCATGTAGCAGTATTTTAGACACAAAACTCATTGAAATAGTAATAGACCTTTTGGGGACACTTCTGGGGACATCTTAGATTTATAAGGAGTTACCAGGTCTGGGAGATAAGCAAAAAGAACTTAATCTGTGTCTCATCATAGCAACACCTTCTTTGTACTGGTGCTACAATGATTAGGGCAGGCCACAGCCTCACATTGAGCACCAAGAAWATACTTTCCAGTTTCTGGAACGTCAGATGGCAGTTTTCATTGCAGAATGTTCAACTCTGTTTTCATTAAAAAAATCCTCTATTGCCTATAAAATCCATGTCATAACTAGTAACTAACTACTATCTAATGCCAGATGTTATGTTTGACTATAAGCAAGCCAAGAGAAGCACAGATCATCTTCTTGAGAGGGAAAAGCTGCACTGGCAACAAATTTTGAGAAGACTAGAGGTAAAGGGAAGTGGAAGTACAATTTCAACAGTTAGAATAATACATTTTAATTTTTTAAACATGAAGGAAGAGGGCAATCACTTCAGAAAAAAAGTGAAAAAACATGTTAAAGCTAGTCATTGCATTTTTGCCAAAATATGCAATTTAATTTTCTTTTCATTAAAACTGATCAGTCTAGGAGATGACCAGCCAAACTATTTTTGATCAGCTACCACTGTTTCCAGCGTGCTTACTGGCTTTATGTTGGCCTTCCATGAGTAATCATGAGTTTTCAGTACTATCAGTCTTCCTCCATTTCTACTTGTGTTATTCTTTAACATGTTTCCCCTCTTCTGTTTTGTACCCAGAAATCTATTTCTATTTCTCCCAACATTATCATCAACAATTTTCTTTTATTTTCTGTATCCTGAATTCTACTAGAAAAATCTTATGGCAACTTAGGGATCCTCACTGTAAGCTTTTCCATTCTTCTTTTATTTCTCATATCGACATTTCTCAAGTTCTCTGTTTTTATTTTTTCAGAAGGTTAGATAATTCTTTAATTTTTCCACTAAGCACTCTTCAGTAGCACTTTGCTTCTACTACCTGATATAAGAGCAAACATCTCCTAAAAATTACTCTTTCTATATCTGCCCATTTGCAGTACACACTGGTTCCTTCCTTCTCTTAAGTCATGAGATTATTAACTTGCAGCTGGAATTGAGCAGGATTTTTCAAACCATTATATATAAGGTGTTAAGAACTCACTTAGTTACACAGGAAAAAGAAACAACCTTTCCAGCTGTCCAAATAATAAAATAAAAATTTAGGTGACTGAACGACAAATACRGGCGTTATGTTTGACATGATCCTAGTTTAAATGTGTATCAGATTATTTACAGTTGTGTTGGTGTTTTTTCATGCTTTTTGAGTCTCAAATATGACCTATATACTAACCAACTACATGTTCTACTCTTAAACACTGACACTTTTTTCAGCATTGTTTGTTATTCTTTTCTAAACCTGAAAGCATGAAGGTTTAAGAATGTTTTGTTAGTTCTGTTAGCAGGTAACTAATCTTAAATGATACAATTTTATAAAAGTAATAATGTGAACATTTAGTAAGGCTTATGTTCTTTATGAACCGCACTATATCGTGTACATTTTATTTTTTCTTTCAAGACCATTTTATAATATGAAGAATGAAATAAAARCTCTTTCATATGATGAAATTTATATTCAATGAAGAAAGCATCWTAATTCTCAACTGATAAGTATTGACAGGTTCTGTGCTACCTTGGGTGCCCTCTCAAACTCACCATTTTCTTCCATAACTTTCTGCTATAAAACACACTGTGGCACCAGTGATGGACCTTTTATGGGATCACCATTATTTATGCAGAGTGTTATGTAGTAAAGTCTCCACTGGGAGATATTTGCCTCACACTATCTTCTGAAGAAACATAGAAAAAGTGCATACATGCTTTGTATATTACTTTACTTTTTTCTATACAAATAATGATAGGAAATAAAGGGATTTTTTACTAAAACAGGATGTCAATGAATAAAAAGTTGTGTAAGTGCAGCTTATCATCCTTCAGATCTGTTATGTTTCATGTTCACTACATGCTGTAAAATACTTGGAGCATACGGAAAGATTGAAGATGATTAAGATAAAGCTATTACAAAGTTTGATTTTGCCATTCAGTGTTGTTGTTGCCATGGTAACCCCTTGCATCCCAYTGCATCACATTTACCCTTGCACCTGGGTATATGATGCAAAGACATTTCTTAAAATTGCACAAATACTAACTAACATGAAAGACAAACTTCTGTTTCTTTTATCAGTGTGAAGTGAGTATTTTATTTCTATTATAATAACAACAGAATTTTCCATAATTCACTGGGTATTTAAGATAYCACACTGTAAACAAACTATTATTCATAAGGGAAAAACATGTAATATTTAAAGATGGAAAAAAAGATTTTACGAGAAAGGAGGAGAGCAGTGTGTTAAAGGACCAGCGAGTGTGTGTATGTTACCCGATATGGGAGTTAGTTCTGCTCTCTGTTACTGTTTTGTCACTGCTGTAGCAAGGCAATCAATGAGYTATTAGTAATTCACTGAATAAGGTGCGTGTCTTGTTCAGATGTATCCATGCCTTCAGCCTTCCTGTGAACAGGATAAAGAACAGTCTCTACAGAAAATATCTCAGAGCTTGCCAGARGTGAGGAGGTTAGCAGGGTTCTACAGAAATTACCTTAAAACATACAGAACTTATATGAATATGCATATTTTTTATTTTTTGACTCTATGATGTGACTATTAATTCCTCTTCTCTAAGATACAATTTAAAAATACAACAAAGTTATAACACTGCTTTAAATTCTATAGGCTTACCTTTATGATGTTCTCTTTGCTCTTTTTCAATTCAGTCTTATAAAAATTTTGTATAAAACCACACAGATGTCTTCACTGAAAATACACATTCTTTTCTTTTCCTATCCCTTTCAATTTCTGAATCTATAAATCTATACCRTGTCAACTGAAATTAATTATCCTGGGACAGATAATGAAAAGTAGTATTATTTTGGACAAGTGTTGAGTACCATTGCCAAAACAGCACATACATATATATATATGCATTCACACACAAATATACATACATATATGGAGTGGATGTATGTCTGAAAGAGGGTGATTAAAATTCCATTCTGAGTGATTAAAGCTGAACTCATCACCAGATTACAGCAGTTGTCCTTCATTCATATATGCTTGTTCTAAACTAAAAGTCTATAAAATATATTTATTCTTAATAGTGAATAAATTCTCACATCTCTGAGACAGGCAGCAGACACAAAGTACCTCCRGACTGTACTTTAATTGTATGTGACACTACTTACAGTGGGATTTAGCTCTGGCTACTATKAATTTTTGCAGGGTCCTGTAAAGTCTTTGAAGACTGTGGTGACCTATACTTGTCTTTTAAACAGCTTGATGCAACCATATTGCTTGCTGCCTATTTAAGAAAATGTGCTTATATTTTTGAAAGAAAATACTAAGGAATGAYTATACATTAGCTTTATGCAGTTAACACTGAAAATAGAAAAGGGAAAACATTCATAGTAAGCAAATACCTATGTAGGTGTTAGTTTTAGGTATCTATATAACAACTTTCAGTCCTAGCATGATAATTTAATCATTTCATTCTGTTCTAGCTTGTTCCAAACACTGTCCCATTTGGCACAGAAACTTCTAGTTTTCTGTTAGAAACCAAATATTTTTCTTTCCAGGGGCAGACATTCCTCAGTCAAGTTCAACAAAGTGGACCACAAGGGACCCGTCTCTGTTGTCCAAGCTAGCAAGATACATTAATGAGCCAGCATCAGTAAATAAAGAAGGCAAGCTACAGCTGTCCTCCAGTGCTTGAYGTCACTGACCAATTCCAGAAGCACAAGTCAGTGATTTAATGGAATTTCCCACTAAGACATTTACAACACATTYGACCATATCACAAGATTCTTAGTGCACTTCAATAACAACAAAACCCTAAACAAACTGCTGTGAATCAGAATTTTCTGTCTGGCATCTCTCAAGTAATTTTTTTTGCAAATCTGTAAATGAGTACAGAAATATTCAGAGAGAGAAATTCTTTGGATATGAATTATCATGTGCTTTCTAATGACCTCCGAACCATGTATCTGGTAAGAGCCAAGGCCATTGTTTGACTCAGGGCAAGCAGCGGAGGCAAGGGGAGGGCCCATGAGAAAACAGCCCTCTGTAAGGGCATGCTGACATGAGACCAGGAGGTAATATCCATGAGCAGTCAGAATGTGCTCTAACCTGAAGGGTTAGCTGTGAACCCTGCCAGTCACATGGTTGAGCAAATATAAGAAAATAAAAGTGGAAAATGAGTGTTTGTTGGTGGGAGGAGTGCATTTTATTCCAGTACTACTTATATGGTACCATACCATATAAGAAATATGATAGAGGTAATTTTAGCTAAAAAAAGAAGCTGTAATTGATTATCCAGCCATTGCACATCACTACATAGAAACTTAATGCATTGCTCTGAGATCTAATATTTATTCAAATATAAAACCACATGAATTTTAAAAAGCAATTATAAAACACTACAATCTATTCTTGCAAATTACCTGTTGTAATTTTAGCTCTAGACAACAATGACAAATTACAATCCTCATTTTAAGGATATGAGATGCATTACATAATGCAGATCTATAGTGTTTTGAACCATTAATCAACATCGTCTGGCAGCCCTGTTTGTGTTGATCCTGTTTACAAAGGAAAAGAACTGTAAGACATACTATTTTAGGCTTTTCTTTATCCAGTAAGCATTCTTTAGAAGGAATAATTTATAATCTGAATTTGCATTTAGCCTCAACATTGAGAAACAGCCCAGACAAAATTGCAGCAAAGAAAGGTTGACATCCACAGTAAAAAAAATTAAGACTCATTTCTATCTTCACCAGACATTTATCTGTTGCTATGTTAATTAGCAGCTAAATGTTGTTATCAAATTACAGCATTGTGTGATCTGACAGTTTTAAAATTATACCTTAACACAAAATCTAGGAGCCACTGGATTTTTCTCAAAAATTTATAAAACATTGTCTTGGAAGATATATAAAGTTCTTCACATTTTCTGTTCATTTTTTCAAGAGAGATTCTCCCTTTCTGTGAAGAGAATATTCTCAATAATGGAGTACCAGATTTCACTGCTAACAAAAGTAATTCTTAATATTAATTATATCAAAATATAAATATAATCACAGTCAAACTGAAATGAGTTTTTAATGATTTATAAGATTTTTTTAAATTAAATTCTGTTCCCTATCAATGAAAGATACTCAATATCAGGTTTGACWAGGAAATGTGGTTTTTTTGATCCTGTAAAACTTCTTAAGGTTTCTCAAATGTTCCTTGTCTTTATTAAATGCCACTAAGCACTTTCAATTTAATGAATGCACAGATAACAGCCTGGCAATAAGAGGAATTTATCTTGGATGCGAAAGGCTCGGATTCAGTCTGCAGGTCTGCCATTCCTTCCTGTCCCAGAAATATGCTCCAGACACCAGGAAATCAAGCCTACAGTGGTTTTCCTGCAGATGGATTATGACTTTCTGTATTTGTATATTTTGTTTAAATTCTCTGCAACAACGCTGTGAAGCTGAGTGCCCAGCATCACAACTAGACAGAATACTGGACTAGCTCCATAGTGGTTTCTCTCACACCTGGCAGTAACATCCAGACAGATCAAGAAGAAAAAATCCCAGGGCCAACATGAGTTTGTTGGTTAACTCCCGAGAGTTTCATGACCTCAAGGCTATTACCTATTATACCTGTGACTCTCTRGAGTACTGCCTTTCACTAAAAGCCCTATTGAAGCACTTAGTTCTTGCACTTTTTGCAAGCATGTTAGTTTAAATGGAGTCTTTTCCAGCTAAAAAAGTGTGTCATTGAAGAATTCCCAGTCAATTGCATTCCCAAGTGTTTTGCATTAATCTTTAAGGGCAGAGACATAGAGAAGAGCCAAGATGATCTGAGCTTGTAAGTAAGTAGAATAAAGGATTTTTCCCAACAGGAAAGAATACTAACTCTTTGTTTTCAAACTGAATTGATTTAAAACAATTGCACTGATTTTATTACTTTCCTTATAAATTATTGATAATTATCAACAAGGAGTTTTTCCCTTTAAAAAATATGTTCCCCTACAATATTAGCTTAGAGTTTCTGTAAAATCAACTTGTGGCTTCCTGCAAAGTAGCTCTCTTTTCTGGTAAAGCCCTTATTTCTTATAACTTCTGGGATACAAAAAAATTTAATAGATATAACATATGCAAATACAGAAGACCTGAGAGTTCTGCAACAACATGCATGAAAATGAGAGGTGAAAAATTTCTCAATTACAACCTCTTCATCAAAATTAACTCTTTTGTTATTAAGATCTTCTGTTCATATTAGAAAAGCTGTGGCATTCCTGTCACTTGCTACCCTGAAAGTAGGCTGTTCATTGCAACTATTATTATGCCAATGAGATCCGAAATGACTRTGTACTCTTTTCATATTTTGTTGAAATACAACAATGACACAAGGTAGATGYCTAATAGGCAAACTCTCCATGTGCACTAAAAAAAAAAGAATATTTAAGATTTAGATTTCTTTTTTGGAAAGAAAAACATCAGAATAGTGGAGATGTTTAAAAATTTGAAACGGCATCAATCCTAAAATGGACTGCAATGGCACTTCCTGCCTCTTCTGTTTTCACAGTGCACTTTCAAATAACCTTGTGCATGCTTACCTTAAGGATTTTTGCATATATGCAAAAATGTGGCAATTTGTTACATCATCATGGTATGTGCTGATTGCAAACCTTTACAACTCGTCTCAAAATATGATAARGTTACTTCCCCAGTGCATGAGATGCAAAACAAATTGGGTATTAACTTAGCCTGTCACCACCTTTTATTCTTGATTTCTGTATGAACTAACGTGACAGGGCTCACCACRTGTGAGACCATGAATTTGCATTTCAGAACAAAAATAATAAACAATAACAACCTTAAAGTATGCTGATGCAAGCCAGTGAGGAATTATATTAGTTCATTTGTAATCTAAACTATACTTCTAATTGTAATGCAAATTTGATCAAGGATTTATAAAATAGGTACATTTAGATCAGGTGAAATATTTGTAAAAGTTTAAAAAAAATCACACAACGAAAGTCAGTAGGACAGTTGGAGAAGAACTTCTATGCTCTCCAAGTTGTCTGTATTTTAATCAATTGTATACATCTTAATAAAATAACCCAAATTAGCTTTCCCAGAAAGGGCACTTGACTGTGTCTTTGAGAGTATCACAGCGATAATATTATTACCACTTTGAGTACATATYGTAATGAAATTTCAAGGAACTCAGTTGCTCTCCCTTTTTTCCCCCAAGTTTTGCCTAACATTATCAAAGAGGTAGACTCATGCTAAATTGCAGCACATCTTCTCTCCCTGGTAAGAAGTTATGGTACTTGCCTTCTGCCACAAGGACGGTCCTGTCTTGCAACTCCTCTGAGTCTGATCCTCAGTTTCTGAACCTCAGGTGCCTCAATCTCAGCACAGCTCTTGCTTAACAACAATGAAAGAGGTGATTCCTGGGTTATCCTCACATACCTGACAGTGTAAGCCCCAAGGCAGGGAAGATTCATGCCTACCCTCAAAGTCTACATCCTCTCCTGGGTCAGCTGTGCTCCTTCAGGCAATCATAATATCATTATTTTGGCAAATTTCTCAGTTACTTACCTCCACTTCTGCCAGTGGAAGTGAAGTTCTGTGAATTTGCTCTAGGGACAAAGGCGGCTACAAGAGCACGAATTCAAGTGGAGAGTAATACAAGCATTGTCACCTCCTAGTGTTCAGCTCTTATTTTTTTACCTGCTCCATCTGTAGACCACAATTCTCAGAGAACACATCTTCTGAGCAGCACAGGGTATAGATGATGTCGTATTCTTCTGTGCCACTGATGGCATAACAGACATTTATAGCATTTACTAGATATGAGTCAATTCCAGGCACAAGAATTCCAGGTACTGGCCTCATGAAAAAAATACATGTATAAATCTGAAAAGAAAAAAAGCAAAACATGTCTTTCATTACAGACAAAAAGTTAAAGGCATTTGAAACTTCAACTTKTACTAAAAGTGTTTAAATAATCACTAAGGTAATTACTCTCCAACTTACTGCCACGCGATCCAGCATTCATGATGGCAAGACAATCAAGCAAACAAACCTGGACATTCTGTGAGCAGCAAAACTGCTTATGTTSGCTCCTTGTGCAGAAGATAAATTCATCAACTGAAGATTTTTTAATGGCTTGCTATTCACTGCTTTTGAGCACAGATTTTCAGTTGTCTAATACACAGAAGTTTCATATTGCAACCTTCAATTAGGTGAAAGGGAGAAAACAATCCAAAATCATTAGCAGCAGCAAGCATCTAATAAGTACACAATCTCTAAAAGAACAATTTTTTTCAGTTACATTGAAATTAGTCAATTCTACAGAGACAGCATRGAGTGAAAACACAGATAAAGAAGTATGCACACAAACATATGGATTGCTCGTGTAAGCTTTATTTCCTTAGGAAGTCAGGATACAACATTTCAGTGATTAATATATAAACAGCAATTGCTCATATCCTGCAGACTTTCAGGAAATAACTGAAATCTGCAAGCAAATTTAACTGAGTCTGTAGCAGATAAAATTAACTAAAAGATGGAGATATAATTGCCTGAGTCTGTACACAAAGTCAAGCTGAAAGATAAATGGCAGTTCCATTTTCCTGTTGACTGTTACAGCAAATTAATTATCTGGGGTCATGGATTTGCTTCCAGAGACAGCAATGTGAATCTCAGAATCCACAAGAGTTTGTAAGCAGAAAAGGAAACTGATTTCTCAAGAGAGATTACCATCCAGACACAATATTCCTCAGCTATATTTCCCCCTTTGAGGATCATTTCATGGAAGTGTGAAGTTTCTGCATAGTGCTGCATTAGACCAGGGTAACATTATATACTTAAAACTCTGACACAGCTTTTTCCTGGGCTCCAGCTTTGGATGGAGTTTCCCATTACATAAAGTTGATTACTCAGAAAAACATGATGCTCAGTCTCAAGACAGTTATTTAACTAATGTGTTCCAACAGCCATGGTGTGCAGTAGAGCAGGAATGATAGTTATTTGCTGCAGAGGGAGAGTGAGGCTGTGGGTGATGCCCCTGCAGCAGCAGAAGGGGTGGAATTTGGGAGATGGTGGAGTCCATGGCAGCTGGGAAGGACAGCTGGACTGCAAAACTGAAAGGACTGGAAAGAATGGAAAAAAACAGCTGCAACGGGAGAAAAATAGCAGGCAACAAACAGGATGTGAGGAGGAATTACAATAAAATAGTTGAAARCATGTGAGGAGACCAGCAGGCCTGATACTGTCAGTGGCAGGCAGAACTGCTGGGAACACTGCGATCCACAGCACACGCTCACAGCAGTGCGCTGTGGTGAATGGATTCTGGCCTGCCAGACAGGACTGCTGTAGTGCAGCAGGAGCAGGTGCCAAAGGAAAGCAAACTGCTCGTTTCTAGTAGTTTAAGAGCTACCCAGGCTTGCAGTTTTATGTAGGCTCTGGTGGATGCCWTTTAACTGTCATTGTGTCTTGAAGTTCTTCTGTGAGAGCAGTCAGCCCTCAGAAACACACAGATGTACATCTGCAACAAATGCGCCWCAGGCAGGGAGCCTCCCTTACGAGAAACCAAAGCAGTAACTGAGACCTAGAACATCAATTTAGGGATGGGCTAGGTRGGTCTTTCCTGATTTTTTCAAATCAGATCATTCGAAACATGTCCTTGAAAACAAAGAAAGAAAATAAGGACTGTAAGTCCAGAAGCACTGCATTCGACAAGAGTTAAAAATCAGAGTACTGAACTGAAAATGGAACTGRCAGTCCTAAATGGGTACAGAAAGCTCCAGCAATCATACAGCTCAAAAGATAGAATGGATTTGGAAGGGAGAAGGAAAGGGAGATATCAACAGATGGACAGCAGGTGAAATAGAAAGATGGAAATGATGGAGTTAGATGTGTCAMACAGCTTTACACATGGGAAGAGATAGAAGAAATTAGAACAGGAAAAGGACATTACAGAGATATGGAATGGGTAAGTGCAGGAAAGAGGGAAAACATTTGAAAATCTTAACCCCATCTCAGATGCGTACATCAGAACAAAAATTYATGGTTTTAACCAGCTTTTTCTCCTGTCAGTTGAAAACTAATGAAACATCAGCAAGCAATTAGCTTCAGGTAGATCACAGGGGAACTGTAATACTTTTTTATGCATCACTCTGTCACAGTGATGAAACATGATTTATGTGAAACATTTGCTGGAAAAATGCCATCAACATTAATAACATTATATAAACAGGRGAAAACACCAGTTCCTGTGGCCTCCATTTGCTTCCTATGCTAAGCAGCTCTATAGTTGCAAAGGAGTTTTTTGAGCAATGTTGATTGTAATTAATAAATTGAATWTTTTTTTACCTTGGGTTCACAGCTGGTGTTTAGTTCTTTTTCACTGTATTTGCATTCCAATAAACAGTCATTAATCCATGTTTCCTTATCAGGACTTGTTCTAATTAGGCTGTTCTAAAAGTTGAGTTAATCAATAGAGTTAATTCTTTGCATTTATWAACAACAGGAAGTTTTCTTTTTTATAGGTCAGTTGGCTTATCACTTCTTAAATGTCAGTTTAAACTCAGTGCCATTGGTATGTCAGGATAAGCAGCACTTACACAAGCAATCCTATTGAAGTTGGTGTGGCTTCTCATTTGACTATACAGAATAAATTCATATGAACAGAAATGAAAACTATGAGCTTCTTCATTTGTCAAACTGAACTGTGTTTTCATTTGTATTCTACCTCACAATCCCCTCCCATCCCTTACTATAAAGCACTACAGTGAACAGTTTTGTAAGCAGGTCTCTATTTCTGTAAGAGCCTCTCACACAATAAACGAGAAAACATCAACATGGGCAACTCATACCTTTGAAGACAGCAGCCAGCCCCATCAGTACTTTGTCATTCTGTTGGCATAGCTGAGTTTCATTTTCCTGTTTTACTAATAAAGACAGGACAAATACCCTTATTAAATGATGAGACACAGCCCCAAGAACCATTTCTGTCTTTCCTTGGTCTGGGCATCATGACACACTTGCACAGTAGCCCTTGTTGAGAATTTTGCTGGTTATCCCCAAGCTTGCAAAGATGAGAACAGAAGAAATCACAATGTCCCAATGTCTGTGCTATCCTGGGATTTTGGTCATGAAGCAAATGGCAAGGACTTACTGTATGACTGTATTGCAGCTGTGGTTCTAATAGCAGTGTCTTTGTTTACAATATTGTTCTTTTAGACTTCTGCTGCATGAAATGTGCTCCTGAACATGTCTACAGCATTTTTTTTTTCTTTAAAAATCATTAGGGCCAAAAGTAAGCATAAAAGAAAGTGATGCCATAAATTCAGATTCCCCCTAAATTCACCTAGCCTTTCTCCTAATGAATGAGGATGTAATTACTTTTCTGTGCTTTTGCATGGGTTCTCTTGCTGCATCAAATCCTTTCACTCCAGTAAGTGCAGGCGTTTATCTACCCAAGAAAAGTCATTGTCTTCTACAAACCAAAACATAGCCAAGCAATTTCACATACACAACTTYAAAAAAATACTGTCATGCCTACAAGCATGTCTGAAGTTGTACAGCAAAGTGACCTGTATGAGCAATAATACAGACTTTATTTCAAATAAGGCTAACCAAGCTGACCATCTAAAAATCTGTTCATTTGTATGTATGGCAGTAGTTGGTATTTCTGGTTTGGCAGTGTAGACTACATGGCTAATGGTGGAGTGAGTATGGAGAGTGACCACTCTGGCACAGCACTTTTTCATGAAGTTGAAAAGTTACTGAGAGTTTATTGTTGTACCTTTTTCATTCTCCCCCAACTTCAAGGACACGGGAATTAAATCCCCCCAACCTGTCTGCTACACCCTATGTATTCAATACACTGCTACCATGAGTCTTCATAAAGRCTACAAACAAAATTTATGCTTCACTTCCCAAAATTGTTATCTATAACTAACCACTCACARTACATGAACTCCAGACATGAGAAAAATGCCATTTTTCATTCATTTCAACCCTCAAAAACATCCCATGCAAATTTTACTCAAATTTGGCTTAAGCATACACTTCCTCTTTGCTTAGATGCATCTGGCACAGATGAAGATACAGAGACAAAAAGCACASTGGAAAGCACAGCTGATCTACTACCACAATTCTTACGCTCCYATACTTACACCTGACATCATGCAAGCCCCAGTTTCTTTTCCTAGGTGAAAACTACATCTGGATAAATGAAGCAGTCCATGCTTAAGGCAGTAAATAACAGCAGTAGAAGAGCGATGAAATCAACTATCCGGGGGAATGAAACTGTGTGGAAAAYCTCAGCCCCAAACATTTAAAAGAKAATTACTGCAAAGAGTATTGTAACTGAACTTCAAAGTTGTCTCTGCACTCTGAACAGCAATTCTAAAGCACTGGTACGTTTCTTCATCCCTTCTCTCCTAAGGTTGTCCATACCTRGGATTTGCGCTGAACGGAGCAGCTTTTTTATCTTGGATGAAAGATCATGGACTAAAGCAATTTCATTAGTTTTGCCATTTCTTWCTCTTAATAAACTACTGCCGGCTGCGAGCATTTAAAACAACAACAGACTAACAAAAGCCTCGAGTCTGGTGAAGAACCTCCAAGTTTTCCCTTTCCATTTGCCTGACTTGCGGCGCTCCGCTCGCGCCGAGGACGCTACGGAGGGCCGGGAGCCGAAGCGAACCGGGAGCGGCTCCCGAAAAATCCCGCGGCCCCTGCAAAGCGGGAATGCTTCCAGGATCGCGGGAATGCCCCTAGACCGCGGGAATGCCCTCGGACTGCGGAGCGGCCGGAATGACGATGCCCGGCGGSACGCGCAGCCTCCCGCCGCCTCGCTCAACACTGACTACGTTTCCCGTGAGGCCGCGCGGCAAAGCGCGGACCGCAGTGTGCGTCAGCAGCGCAGGCAGCCAATCGCGGCGCGGCCGGGGCGAGCGCCGTCCGCCGCCAATGTTGTTTTCGCTGAGTCGAGGCGCTGGTGTTGTTGGCGGCGGCGCCATATTGGAAGGGACGAGCGCCCGCTCTCGAGCAGCCCCTGGGCGCGGGCCCGGCCGCCGCCATGCTCTACCTGGAGGACTATCTGGAGAGTGAGTGTGTGCGCGGCGGGGGCGCCGGGCGGCCGGGCACGGCCGGTGCGGGGGAGCCGGGGGAGCCGCAGCGAGGAGGCGGCGCCCCCCCTCCCCCACGGCAGCGAGTGACTGACTGGCTCCCTCCCT